GGACTTGGGGGGCAGCAAATGGGGTTCAGGAGAGACTTCCCGAGTTTTCTTGTCAAACAGAAATGGCAAAGGACATTTCTAGAAGTTGTTCCAACTTGAGCAAAGAGAGGCATAAATAACAAGGGATGCGTCGGCGCTCCAGGGACCGTGGGCGAGGAGAGAGGAGGTAGAGGGGCAGCAAGGCCGGGAGGGGTGGTAAGGCGACCCACCCTTCAAAACCCGGCCTGTCCCGAGTCCATGTATTCAACAAGTATTTGGGGGAGCTACTGTGCTCTAGGCATTGCTTTATGCAAAGCCTTCTAGCTGCCAACCCAAGTCCCTGCCCCGTGGGTCTTACCTCCAGTGGGTGTGGGAGGAGACACAATAAATATTAGGTGGTGGCACCGCTAAGGATTAAAGAAGCGAGGCAGACGCACTGCTCCGAGGCGGCTGCTCCAAAAGGGCCTCCCCGATGAGGTTTCCATTGACAAAGCAGAAGGGCTGTGTTCCCCGCGCCTCGGCCTCGCCCCCCCCTCCACCCCCCCCCCCCCCCCCGGCAGGTCCCCGGCCCCCCCATGCCAGCTCCCTGCTCCCCGGCCTCCAGAGGGTGCGCGGAAGGAAGGAGTGCTGGTGTCATGGAGGTGCTTACAGTGTGCGACACCGGTTGCCGCGTTTCCCTAGTACTTGGCAGTTTACAGGCCCTTTCACTTCTCTGTCTTACTGGGTCCCCTTGGCGACCCGGTGGAAGTAGGCAGGGCCATTAGTCACCCCCCTTCCATTCTGCAGAGAAAGAAACAAACAGAAGGTCGGGCTCTTTCTAAGCACACCTACTACATTGTTCTGCACCCCTCCTCCCCGGCCCACACAGGGCACCCGAGTCCAGTCCTCAGGCCTCTGAGCTCATTCGGGGGCCTGTCCCTGGGATGGAGCGGAGACCAGCGTGTCCGCTCTATACGAGGTGTTGCTTTTTCAGCAGTTTCTCTGCCACTAGAGTCTCCCAGCAACGCGCACTGACGCGAAGCCAGTGGTGTTTTGTAAGACATCGCCACACTATCTTGGTGCTTCCCAAAAGACAAGCAGCCTCTGAGTAAAGTGTTCAAGACCCGAAAGAGAGAAGCGAGTTGCCACACCATCGTTAGGCTATTGAATGATTTCACGGAGGCACACTCGCGTTCAAGCTGCGTCTCCATTGGGAGTTTCTCACTTGCTATAAGTTGCCCATATTTTTTTGGTTGCAGACAGCAGACACTCCAGTGAGCTAACTTAAGCAACAAAGGTTGGAATTATCAAGAACATGGTCTTTCAGGTACCGCATGGAATCTGAGAGCAGGAAGTGAAGTCAGTTCTCACAAGTGCTTGGGGTCAGTAATGAGAAACTCAAGATCTAAGGCAGTTTTGCAATCCCCTCCTCTCCCTTCACCTCCCATCCCAAAACATTTATCACCTGCCCTCCCTGCTTCATGTCAATTGCAACCTAATGGAGAGAGGACACCAATGCTTTAGAACCTCACTGGTGTATCATTCTAGATCAGTGGTTCTCAACCTGTGGGTCGCGACCCCTTTGGGGGTCGAACGACCCTTTCACAGGGGTCGCCTAAGACCATCGGAAAACACATATATAATTACATATTGTTTTTGTGATTAATCACTATGCTTTAATTATATTCAATTTGTAACAATGAAAATACATCCTCCATATCAGATATTTACATTACGATTCATAACAGTAGCAAAATTACAGTTATGAAGTAGCAACAAAAATAATTTTATGGTTGGGGGTCACCACAACATGAGGAACTGTATGAAAGGGTCGCGGCATTAGGAAGGTTGAGAACCGCTGGTCTAGATGAAGACAAGTGCCCTGAAAGACAGGAGCACCGTCCTCTGAGTTTCTGTAACACGAAGGAACCTGCAGTAAAGTGAGATGCTCAAGACGACCTCCCAAGGGAGTGATATTTGAGCTGAAATTTCAAGGAGGAGCAGGTCGGGAGAAGATGTTCCAGAGCAGAGACAGCACATCAGAAGGCCCTGTGGTCAGCCCTGGCTGGTGTGGCTCAGTGGCTAGAGCAGTGATGGCAAACCTTTTGAGCTCAGCGTGTCAGCATTTTGAAAAACCTTAACTTAACTCTGGTGCCGTGTCACATATAGAAATTTTTTGATATTTGCAACCATAGTAAAACAAAGACTTATATTTTTGATATTTATTTTATATATTTAAATGCCATTTAACAAAGAAAGATCAACCAAAAAAATGAGTACGCGTGTCATAGGTTCGCCATCACTGGGCTAGAGCGTCGGCCTGCGGACTGATTCCCAGTCAAGGGCACATGCTCAGGTTGGGGCTCGATCCCTAGTATGGGGTGTGCAGGAGGCAGCCGATTAATGATTGTCATCATTGATGTTTCTGTCTGTCTCTCCCTCTCCCTTCCTCTCTGAAATCAATAAAAATATATACATTTTAAAAGGCCCCGTGGTTAAAGGAACGGTAGCACTCCAGGAATGAAGGGAGAGCAGTGAAGTTGGAAAGCTGGAGAGGTGGGCAGTAGCAGCCACCACGCGAGGCCTCAGGTGCCACTGTTAGGATCTTACTCTTCATCCGGGAAGTGAAGGGAAGTCTTTGAACAGCTTTAAGCAGGAGAGAGAAGCATGGCATTGGGGTTGTGTCTTTAAAAGATCACTTGAGCTTTAGTAAGGAGAACATGTTGGATATAGGACGCCAGTTAGGGGCTAGTGAAGTTATCTATGGCAGAGATGACTGGCCTGGACAAGAGAAATGTCAATGGAGACAGATCAGTGGAGAGACAGACAAGATCAGGTGAGGGATTGGATATGGGGAATGAGGCGTCAAGAATAAGTCCTAGGTTTCTGACTCCTGAGTAGATGGATGGTGATTCTTTTCTCTAAACTAAATAATAAAAAGAGGATAGACGGCCTCCTTTGTAGAGAACACGGATGGGTTTGGCCATGTTGAATTTGACGTACTCTGGATGGGAATGTCCAGCGTCAGTGAGCAGCTGGGTCTGGAGCCACAGTGGGTCTAGGCTTTTGACACCCAATTGGGAGTCACTGTTGTACAGGTAATAGTTGAAGCCATGGAATAGGATGCGACTGCCCGGAAAAGAGGAAGTTCACGAATTAGCCTGGAGGACACCGACTTAGAACGCTCAGGTAGTGGAGGAGGAGCCTGAAACCCAGGCAGGCAATGGCCACGAACTCCACTTTTCTCCAAAGACAGTCTTTTCCTGCTTCTGATGCTTCCCAGAGAATCTTGGATACATGTCTGCCACGGAGTCAATGAGCTGTGAGAGGCAGGCTGTGGGGCTCAGCTCTCTGAGTGCAGATGTGGTTCTCAGAGAAAAAAATTAATCTTATCTCAGTCTTTTCCTTTCCCCATCTTCTCAAAGGCGCTGTGGTCACTTGCTGTCCCCTCTTTCTCATGCAGCCTTCCCCAAACTCTTAACATGGCCGCCTCCTTTTCATCCTTCAAGCTCAGCCAATATGGCTCAGTGATTGAGCATCCATCTATGAACCAGGAGATCATGGTTGGATTCCCAGTCAGGGCACATGCCCTGGTTGTGGGCTTCATCCCTGGCAGGGGTTGTGCAAGAGGCATCCGATCAATGATCCTCTCTCATCATTGGTGTTTCTATTTCTCTCTCCCTCTCCCTTCTCCTCTGAAGTCAATAAAAATGTATTTAAAAAATAAGGTTGAAGCTCAAGAGATACCTTCACTGACCACCTTCCTGATTATTCTCTATCCTGTCATCCTGTTTACTTCCTTCGTAGCCTTTCCCCAATCTGTGCTTAAGATTGTTAATTTTAACCTCAGTCTTCCCCTCTAGAATCAAGCTCTGCAAAGGACAAGTCTAGCTCCGTGGCTCTCCACTGGGGTGGAGTGAGCTCCCGGGAAAACACAGGCCTGTTCACAGGCCTTTCAGGCTGTCACACATCGGGGGCGGGAGTGCTGCTGGCAGGCAACAGGCAGAGACCAGGATGCTGCCACGCACCCTGCAAACCCCAGTGGAGATGCAGTTTGACAACAGGACAGCCTCACAGCAAAGAATGACCCGGCCCCCAATGTCAAAGGGCCAAGACTGAAAAACCCTGTTACCTTGCTCACCGTTCTATCCTCAGCACCTCGCACAAAGCCCGGCACCTTGTAGGTGGTTGATCAGTGTTTACGGGGTGAATTAAAGGAGAGCTGAGCTGTATAAGATGCCACCGAGGCTGTTGTCTACACATTGCCTTACCTCATGCCTTCTATCACTAAAACCATACAATTTTTCCTATTGGTTAGAATTTTTAACTCTTAGAAACCTTAAATTTTAGGTGACAAGTAAGTACTTAACATTTCTCAGATTAGCAATGCATTCACATTTTTAAGAGATAGAATTCAAATAAAATACATGACATATTCATTAATAGATTCAAATCTATCTCCTAGATTCTCTGTAATAAAAATCCAAAAGTAGGCAAATTCAGATTAATATTCAGTATCCTGTTATTTCAAAATACCTAGATCCTTAATCATTTTTAATATTTACCCCAGCAAACTCCGGAGTTCTGTGTTACCAAAGACTGTTCCTCCCTAGGAAAATAAGCATTGGGTATTTTTCTAATAAAACAATGAGTGTTTTTCTAATAAAACATCGGGTGTTTTTATAATGGCTACACACACTCGTCACCATAACAAAGGCTAAGATAACAAATATCTGGGAAATTCCTGGGAAGCATCTTCTCTGATTTTGTAAATGAAAACAATAATAATATTTTGCTCTTGGGAGTTGGAGGGGCACACTGCCCTGAATGAGGCAGGTAAATGGCCTTGCCCGGTCCCAGACCTCAGGCTTCAGTTACCTCCAGAGCAGGACAGACGTCCTCATGCACCTGGGGTCCGTGTTTGTCAGGACCCTACGGGAACCCTCCCCAGTTACTAGACAGAAACGAACTGCTCCCGGAGGCACCGCCAGCTGGGATGGGTGTCCAGGGCTGGGGCACTGATCGAGTCACTGTTCCGCAGCATGAAGAGGAACACGGACAGAGCTCCAAAGAAGCAGCTGAACCAGGAGGATGGCAGTGGACTGGGCCAGGGTCCAGACAATGGGCTACTGGTCACACACATTAACCAGACGCAGGACTTACTGGTAAAAACCTTTGTGCTTTCACTGATCACAGTGCTTACGGGTCATGGTGAGGGAGTGCAGAATGTGTCCAACTCTGAGTGTTTTGTCTCTTCTTGGCGGATCCCAGGACCAAAAAAGATTAGTTAAGCATTCACTCTGGCCCCTGCCTTTAGAAATGACGGAGACTGTGCTGTCCATAGGCAGGTGCGGTTCTCTTGGGCATGTCTTGGGATGTCCAGCGCATGTGAAGAGCGCTCTCCATGTGACCAAAGCCCGAAGTCTAAGAAATTGAATTCCAAAATCCCCCTCCTGAGATCTGGGTTGTTTAGAATTCTCTAAAATCTAGATCTAAAAGGCAGTGTCGCGAATTGCTGTCAGAGCGAGAGAGCTACGGCAGAAGAACTAGCCTTTAGAATAACCAGGACTGTGGTTTTAGGCTGAGCCTCATGTGAGCCATCTTCCCCTTTCACAGTTATGCTCCTTTAAAATGCAACCGCTCTGCCTGCAGTCAAGGTCCAGGATGTATTTGAGTGAGCCTTCAAGTATTTTTTTATTGTTTATTTATTTATTTATTTTTGTTTTCTTTTGTTTTGTTCTTGATCATTTTGGCTTTCAGATTTTAAGTTCCATTGTATATTAAAGAAACTTAGTTTCAGCATTTTTCACCAGAATCTCTGTTCCCAGTGTGTAGACCCCTGGGAGATTTCTGAATTGACAAGTCACTAGTGAGACCAGTGAGTGAAAACACAATGTGCATTTTCACTTCTTAAGGCTTAGTTTTTGTTACCTCTGGTGACAAAGCGTAACAGCCAGAGCTCAGTTAGAGGCTGGGCCCCGTGTGACCCCTGCTGGGGGGGATGTCCCCCAGGAAGGTCCCGTCTCGGCTAGAATACTGCAGGGGCGAGGGGCCCGCCACTTGCACCTGGGAGATGCAAAAAGTCCAGGGACTGCACATTGTGTGGGCGGGACCGGGGTCCAGGATCAGACAGGCCTGAGATAGCATCTCGGTCCTGCTACTTACAGGCTGTGCTACAAGAGAAACTTGCTTAACCTCTCTGACCCCTCAGGTTGCATTTCTCAGTCTCTCAGCTGCTGGCTTCTGTCTGGGTTTGGCCAATGACATGCACCGGTGAGAGGCTGGAAGGCAGGAGAGAGGAAGAGGCCGGGGTATTTTCCCCCTTGGTCCCAATCACAGGTTCCGCCTTTCCGCCAGCTTTCACCTAAGCCGCTGCACCCGCAATTCCCATAGGTGCCCAGCCCCTTTTGATGTTTTCTTTTTTTAATTAAATCTTTATGGTTGAAAGTATTACATATGTCCCTCTTTCCCCCCATTGACACCTTCTAGCCTGCCCTCCCCCCCCAGGCCTTCACAACCCTATTGGCTGTGTCCGTGGGTTATGCATATTTGCATACAATTTCTTTGATTGATCTCTTCCCACCCACACACCCTCCCCCACCTTCCCTCTGAGATTCCCCAGTCTGTTCAATGCTTCCATGTCCCTGGATCTATTTTGTTCATCAGTTTATTTGTTACTTAGATTCCACATGAGTGAGATCATGTGATACTTGTCTTTCTCTGACTGGCTTATGTCACTTAGCATAATACTCTCCAGGTCCCTCCACACTGTCTCAAAGGGTAAGAGATCCTTCTTTTTTACTGCTGCACAGTATCCCATGGTATAAATGTACCACAGATCTTTTATTCACTCATCTACTGATGGACACTTGGGCTGTTTCCAGATCTTAGCTATTGTAAATAATGCTGCTATGAACATAGGAGTGCATATATTCTTACTGATAGGTATTTCAGGATTCTTAGGATATATTCCTAAAAGTGGGATCACTGGGTCAAATGGGAGCTCCATTTTTAATTTTTTGAGGAAACTGTACCATTTTCCATAATGGCTGTCCCAGTCTGCATTCCCACAAGTGGTGTACTAGGTTCCCTTTTCTCCACATCCTCACTAGCACTTGTCATTTGTTGATTTGTTGATGGAAGCCATTCAAACAAGTGTGAGGTGATACCTCATGGTCATTTTAATTTGCATCTCTCTGCTGATCAGTGACTTTGAGCATTTTTGCATAAGTCTCTTGGCCTTCTGTATGTCCGCTTTGGATAAGTGTCTATAGGTCCTTTGCCCATTTTTAAAAATTGATTTCTGAGAGAGAGAGAGAGAGAGAGAGAGAGAGAGAGAGAGAGAGAGAGAGAAATGTCAATGATCAGAGAATCATTGATCAGCTGCCTCCTGCACACCTGGTACTGGGGATGAGCCTGCAACCCGGGCATGTACCCATGACTGGAATTAAACCTGGGACCCTTCATTCTGCAGGCTGATGCCCTATCCACTGAGCCAAAACACATAGGGCTCCTTTGCCCATTTTTAAATAGGATTGTTTGTGTTCCTTTTATTAAGTTGTATGAGTTTCTTAAATATTTTGGATATTAACCCCTTATCAGATGTATCATTGGCAAATATGTTTCCCCACACAGCAGTCTATTTTTCATTTTGTTGATGGTTTCTTTTGCTGTACAGAAGCCTTTTATTTTGATGTAGTCCCATTTGTTTATTTTCTCCTTAGTTTCCCTTGCCCTAGAAGATGTATCCACAAACATATTGCTACAAGAGATGGCTGAGATT